TAGAATCTATTCATCTTGTGTGTTTAAGTTTGTGAATTGTATGGTATGTAAGTTTTTAAGTTCATTAAAGTTGTTTAAAAGGATTTTTTTTTTTTTTTGGTGGAACCAGGGATTGAACTCAGGCCCTTGCACTTGCCAGGGAAGCACTTATTCCACTGAGCCATCTTCCTGACCCAAAGTTGTTTAAAAGGATCTCAGTTTTGGTGTGTTGTTTCTAGGTGGTCTTAGAGAAGTTATGTTACCCTGTGATACTTTTCTTGCTTGTCTTGGAGAGGGAAGGATGAACCTTCACTTTCTGGGCTTTGGAGCCAGACTTAGCAACGCCAATCATTCCCGTGTTGCCAAGGGATAAATGCAGTAGAGGGCAGCCCTCCCTGAGAAGGGCACATTTAAGCAGAAGAGGACAATTACTGAGTTACATGGCTGTAGAAGGAAAAGTAATTTGAAGAGTCAGTTGTACTCTCAGGTGCTTAGGAGGAACAAATGATATAAAATTTCCATTCATTCAGTGGCCCACACATGTATTCACCCCATTCCTCCTTTTCCATTCCTTCTTTTACAAAGATATCAGCACTTTTAAGAGCACCTTCTAGGGTAGCTTAAATGACAGTGACACTCTGGTCCCGGGGTTCATTAAAACATGATATATCACACAACTTTGAATGTTGTGGGGCTGAGCCTGTAGCTCAGTGGTAAAGTACATGCTTAGCATTCATGAGGCTTAGGGTTTAATTCCTAGCTACACACACACACACACACACACACACACACACACACAGTAAGAAAGGAAAAGAAAAAGTAAGGACTGGGGAGATAGCTCAGTGCATTAAGTGCCTGCTTGACAAGCGCAAGGTCCCGAGTTTGATCTCTGGTACCAAAAAAAAAAAAAAGTAAGATGAAATGCTCTTCTTAGGTGACCAAGGCTACCTGAGCTTGGAAGAGTCCAAGTCCAAAGAAACATTTTGATTTAGATGTGAAATGCCTCCAGAAGGCTCCTGTCCGCAGTGCAGTGATGCTCAGAGACAAGGCCTTTGAGAAGACTGGATCATGAAGTCTGTGACCTACTCAATGAATTAACTTTGTGAGTTCATAATTTGGTGAGATATTAGGAGATGATGGAAACTTAGAAGACCAACGTTCTAGTTGAGGGTGTAGATGCTTGGGGACTACGTCTTAGATCCAGCCCCTTCCTTTCTCTGACTCCTATCTGTCATGAGAAGAACCACTTTGTCCCACCACAAGTCCCCTCATGTCTCACCATGGACTCAAAAACCATAGAGCCAAATGACCATGGACTGAAACCACTAGAAAAAATACACCTTTCCTCCTTTAATTTTTTTTTTCTCAAGTACTTTGGCACATGGTAGAACTCTAAAAGAGAAAATTGGTATCAAGAAGTGAGACTATTGTTCTGACTAGTGGCTCTTCATGTTGTGTTCTGCCCCAAAATTTGTCTATAGATTGCCTGTGCCCTGAGACTTCATAGGAAGCTGAATTTAAAGGTGTCAGATTAGGGTCGGCCAGATAGCTCAGCAGACTAAAGCACCTCCTTAGGCAGAGCGCAGGGACTGGGTTTGATCCCCAGCACCACAAGCCATGCTGGCCCTGCCCCTGGGGCATTCTGAGATGCAATCAAGACTGGGCGTGGTGGCACACACTTATAATCGCAGCATTTGGGAGGCTGAAAATAGGAGGATCACTATGAGTCTAGTTTGCGTAGTGAGACCCTGTAGACTCTGTACTAAATACATTTTTAAAAAAGAAATGCTTACTATAAAACAAAAACATGGATTAAAACTATAGCCATGGAAATCTACATGGGAAATAAACACATAAATAAAGGTGTCAGATTAGCTGGGGAGATAGCTCAGCAGCCTAAGTGCCTGCCTGGCAAGTTCAAGGACCCAGGTTTGATCTCTGGCACTACCAAAAAAACAAAACAAACAAACAAACAAACAAAAAACCACAACAAACTTTCCATAAAGGTGTCAGATTAGTTTTTCTGGAAGAGGAAATTTCAAGGGAGCACAGCATTTACGCTGTGACATCAGAACTGCTTTCAACCAGATTTTGGGGAGAATTATGAGCAAAAAGCAGAGCAGAAAGATCTGAACAATTTGTTGTTTGGCCAGAAGAGAAGTTATTTAAACTCATGGAAGGAAGTGATTGCTGAAGAAATTAGTGCCATTAAAAAGAAACCAAATGGCCAGGCATGATGGCCCATGCCTATAATCCCAGCACTCTGGAGGCTGAGGCAGGCAGATTGTGAGTTTGAGGACAGCCTGGGCTCCACAGTGAGTTCAAGGCCAGTCTGAATACATATTGAAACCATGTCTCAAAAAAAAATGTGTTTCCCCATGATTGTCTTTTTCACCACGTTCGGCCATCTAGGCACTCAGAGGCTTCTGCAGCCATTGTCTCAGGGGGCCCAGTTACTACGCTGGCTGGTGGCAGACCTTGGTATCATCCACATGGTGTTGATTTTGCAGGCAGGCAGAATGCAAGAGTTGTGAGGTCGTGAAGGCTTCTACTGAAATTTCAGAGAAAAGCCTGGGAGGCCAGGCAGTGTGGGGCAGAATTAGAGTCCCTGCAGGCAGCTCCGAGAATCAGGGCATAAAATTGTGGAAGTAAAGCTGAAGTAACTGTGCAGGTCCTCAGAAAGTTGGAGGTGCTGGGAATGTGATCTATCTGTCAAAGAAAGCTGCACACAGTAAACAGAGCCAGACCAAGGAGAAGAGATTGTGTGGGCTGCAGCCAGCCAGATTTCAAGGTAAGGGCTGCATACGATTCTTGGAAGCTCATGTCCCACCAGCATGTGCCCTGGAAGTTGGACAAGGAACTACAGGATTTAATATTTTCCCTGCTGGGTTTCAATCTTGCTTTGGTCCCTGATCTTCTCCAATGCCTCCTTTCTGAAATAGGAATGTTTACCCTATTCCATCATTGCATGTTGAATATATGTAACTTGATTTTTTATTTTTATGGGGACTCACAGCTAAGAGTTGGCTTTGAATCTCAGAAGAGATCTTGGACTTGGACTTTTGAGCAGTCCTGCTACCATTAAGAATGTCAAGGCTGGGGAGATAGCTCAGTGGTCTAAGTGACTGCCTAGCAAATGCAAGACACCCGGGTTTGATCCCCAGTACCACATGCTGTGCTGGCTACTGAAACCAGGTGTGGTGATACACGCTTGTAATCCCAGAAGTGGGGAGGCTGAGACAGAAGGATCACTATAAGTCTGAGGCATGTAGTAAGACCCTGTCCCAAATAAATAAATAAATATTTTTAAAATAAAATAAAATAAAAAGACAACCAGGAATCTTGGAGATGAACTAAATGCGTTTTGTGCTCCTTGTTACCTTACTCAAGCACAAGTGGGCAAAATTAAGTATAAACATGCCCAGTTCCAGCTCACTGTGACCTGCCCTTATCCACATTAGTGTTCATGACTCATCTCAAGGAAACCAGGCCTTGTGGGAGCCAAGGGTTCTCTGGTTGAGTGCATGGTAGTTCCCCGGGTCAAAGGAGAAGGAAGAGATCAGGGGGAAATGCAAGGTGCATAGGACACCTTGGAAATCCCCATCGGTGAGGCTCCTTGACAAGAATTACAACTCAGCTTTTTCCCATCATCCCTGACACAGCTGCGCTGTGCAGCTTCTGTGACACCTTCTCCCCTCTGAGCCCCGACCTGTTCCGACCCTCTGAAAATTCTTTATATCTTCCCTTCACAGAGCTTCCCCCTTTGTCTCTAGAAAGTTTCCGTATCTTTCAAAGTAAGTGTACACCTATGTAACATGTGTTTGTGCCACACCTTGGGGACACTGTGTGCTCTGATGACCGGCAGCTCTCAATTCCAGGCCATGTGTAAGGCCATGTAACTGGATCCATAGATTAAGGCAAAATGTTGGGCCCTCCCAGCCCTGAAGTGTTGTCTGGAAGAATCTAGGTGCTCTGGGCAGGGTCAAACAGAGCAGGAGCCTGAGCAAACCAGGCAAAAGGTTACTGGGGAAATAAAGGTGGCTGTATCTGGGATAGCAATGAGATCAGCAGGGCGGAAGCAGGCTATGACCTTACAGTCCAGCTTGGGGTGCTGAGGGGGCTTGGTTACAGACCCCCTACACACACCAAAGTCCTCAGATGCTCAAGTCACTTAAATCAAGTAGCATAATATTTGCAAACAACCCCCTCACGTCTTCCTAGGTACTTTAAGTCATCTGTAGATCATTTATGAGCCCTAAAACAATGTAAATGTTATGTAAATAGCTGTCAGACTGTATTGATTAGGAAGTCGGGACAAGGGGGAAAGCCTCTGTGTCCAGTACAGACATGATTTTATTTTTCTAATATTTTTAACAAGAATCTGGGAACATGGACCCCATGGATACAGAGGGTCAACTGTATACGCTTCTCACACCGCAGGGGTCGTGGGGGGGGGAAGAAAGCATCTGACCTACATGTTGGGACAACATCCTAGGAAAAGCAAGGGAGTGATCACAAGTTGATGACTCAGAATTGTCAGTCATGGTTGAAGGGAGGATACAAGAATGGGGGGAGAAAAGAAACAAGTTATATCTTATACAAATTCTCTGATGAATGGGATCATTGTGTGTATCTAAAGTGTACCAGTAATATCTGATTGAAAATAAAAAGAATTATCAGTTACTCGAACTTGTGACCTCACGCTTGCCCAGCAGGTGCTGTGCTGCTGAGCTATATCCCCAGCCCTGTCAGTTGGTCTTTATTGAGCACTTACTGAATGCAGACTCCACACTGTACGCCCTTGACTGCAGGCTTTCCTGAGGGGGCGCTATGCAAGTCACCGGGGCACGTGGTCTAACTTCAGACAGAACACAGAGCAGTTTTAGTAGTTTTATTTTCATTTTTATGTTTGTCTGCTGTTTGTGGCAGGTGGCCCTTTTTGTTTTATCGACAAGTTTAAATTCTTGTTCAATAAATACAAGTTTAAAAAACGAACGGAATTAAAAAAAAAAAATATTTATTATGTAAACATAGAGCTGATACATGGACATCACAGAGCTTGCAAGCAAAGGACTGATGTTCAAGAAATAATGGGCATTCCTAGGACACAGACATGTGCTTTGGGGACTGCATTTCTGGTCATAACAGACACTCATTCAAAGCAGCTTAAACAGGATAAGGGAAGGTGTCCAGGGACAATGGAAGGTGTGCAGAGGATGGTCACCCAGCAGACCCCTGCAGGATCTGTCCCCTTTTCCCTCTATGCTCCTGTTGTTCTTGCAGCCTTCTGCTTTGCTCTGAAAATTTTCTCTGTGAGCAGAACCACTGACTCCGTCACAAATGTACAGATGTAGTGCCTGTGTGTGAACACGCACACGTGCATGCGTGTGCACACACACACACACACACACACACACACGCTCACAGCTCCACAGTTCATAGGTCCTCAGCTAAGTGGCCTGCAAAGCCTGAAGCAGCATCCCTGAATCCAGATGGCCACCTCTTACTCTTTCAGCTTCCTCTGGAGGCCTGAAGGGTCCAAGTCCTCAGAAGAGGGGAGGGCCCAGGAGGAGCAGTCGCCCTGACCAAGAGGTGTCTTTCTCGGCATTTGCTGCTCAGAACACCCCAATGAGGTAGGTTTTACCTCACACTAAGAGGTAGAAAATTCAGTCCCCAGTCACTTGGCAATAAGTGACAAAGCCAAGACTTAACTTGGGTCTGTGTGACACCAAAGTTTGAGTGTGCTGCTCTGGCCACCTGTTCTGGTCACCATCAGCTAGGGTTAGCTCACAGCTAACCCTCACAGACCCCAGCAGGTTGCTAGCCCTTGGGGAGATATGTATCAAAATCAGCTATCCAGTGCTTGCCTGACAGGCAGGAAATAAGAGTCCCAAGTTTATGGGACACTGGCTAGAAGGAAGAGCTCTCAGATGAACACTGGACACCAGGGAAAAGCTCCTCCAAGTCCCACATCTCAGTCTCACACTGCAAGTAGGGAAGGAGAGCACACTTTATTTGAATGCTTGCCAAGAATGGCAAGCAGGTATCTAGAGATGTTCAAGAGAAGCTGACACCCTCCAGCTTGTGCAGCTGTAACTGTCCCGTCCACCTCCTGGAAGTTAGGCTAGGAGAGGCCTCCCAGAAAGCGACTTCTCCCACCCAGAGACCTCAGGCTCTTCCTTACCCAAGTGCTGCTTGCACGGAAGCTTCTGGACTTTGAGTTGCACTAGCCAGAATGCTCTCAAATTTTGCTCTTAGGGGACTTTCTGCCCCACAGAAGGTCTTTACTCAAGGTCTGTTATTGAAGCAAAGAATGAAGGAGAGGCTGTCTCTCTTCCAGCCCCTCAGGGCTGACCAGGCCTGAGGCAAGTCCTGTATAGGAAACAAACCCCATCCTAGCTTTTGCTCTGGTCCTGTTTTCTCTTCTGTAGTTGTCACTTGGGACAGGTTTGCTGGCTGAATCAGAAGATTCTACCAGGCCACTTCCACAGCCTTTAGTGCTTTCCCACCCTGCTGTTAGCCCTCGGGCGTCATTGCCCAAGGCTTCAGCCTGCTACCCAGTTGGATGATCAGAGTCTGCCCCCTGACTATCCTACTCCTCCTAGTCCCATCAGACCCAGGGGCCCAGGGTGAGGTCACGATGTGTTCCTATGTGGAGGAAGGTGCTCATTCAAGTTCTGGATTTCCCAGGAGTCCAACACTGCCAGCTTCCCTGCCTGCATGAGGTAGCCTTTATACTTCATGAGCCACCAGTGCCCAAGGAGGAGGTGACTGAGGCAGACAGCTCTTCTTCCTCCAAGCTTGTCCAAGATGCCCATGAAAGAGAAGACTTCAGGCCTGACCCCAGCCAGCAGGACTAATTTTTGATGGAATTAACAGCAATGTGGTTGATTGGCATGGCCACATCTGTCCCTGTGTCAGTGGTGGCTCGGGAGCATTTCCGGCTGCTGCGCATGACATGAAGCTTTTCGCTGAGGTGCTTGCGGAACTTCTTGGTGAGGAAACAGTAAATGACAGGATCTAAGACACAGTTGGTGCTAAGCAGGCAGAGGGTGACCTGATGTGCGTCATTAATAGCCTGGTGATTGCTTCTCAGCCCCATCCTCAACTCAGCCAGGGTCCAGGGCAGCTGGACCATGTGGTGGGGCACAAAGCAGATGATGAACACCGCCAGAACCGTGCAGACCATCCACAGAGCCCGGCGCTTGACCTCAGCATTGTGCTGCTGGTGCACCGGCTGCATGAGCAGTGTACGGATGATGACCAGGTTGCAGAAGAGGATGAGGAGGAAGACGAGGAAGAAGCCGAGCACAATGCAGATATGGATGATGAGGACAGGCTTGCTGCCCTCTTCATAATGCTCAAAGCAGCGCGTGATGTTGCCCGAGCCTGCCTTATCAGGCACTATGTTGGTGGAGTCCATGACAAGGAAGTACGATGCGGCAGCCACAATGGCTACCCAGATGACCAAGGACAAAGTGATGCCACGCTTACGGGTGGTGGCCTGAGCGGTCTTGATGGGATATCTTACTGCCTGGAAGCGGTTATAGGTGATCACTCCCAGGAAGGCCACAGAGCAGTAGGTGTTAATGAAGAAGAGGCAGCCAGCCAGGTTACAAAGGAATTTGGGTAGAATCCAGTTGCCCTGGTTGTAGTAGTAGATGATCCACAGTGGCAAGGTGATTAGGAAAAGAAGGTCAGCCACAGTGAGGTTCACCATGAAGATCTTTATCTCATTTAGTTTCTTGGAAGGGTACAGGTGGACAAAGACCCACAGCACATAGCCATTTGTGATGATCCCCAGCACAAAGATAATACTATAAACAACTGGGAAGAGGGTGTATCGAAACTCAGAATCCACACGGGAAGAGCTATTTAACTCCATGGCTCCGGGCTCTAAAAGTCAGCTGCTCATAGGGTCCTGGCAGTGTCTGGAAGACCATGCAAAGATTCTGGTTAACATCCAGCAGAAAAGTATAAAAACAAGGTATATAAAGTAAATCCATATTAATACGATGAGCTGTAAAAGGCTCAAGTCAATAACTTCTGAGGATAACCCACTAATATTAGAGACTGCTAGACAGTGTTAGATTGTTTAGTTGAATTCAAACACCTATAGTATTTATATGCCAATAGAATATTCACCTCTGACAGGACAAAAAAAAGGATACAAAGGAAAGATCATTTATTTTGTATTTATATATACAAAATAGGATAAATTTACAGCTATTTTTGCTTAACTGAATGAGAAGAAAGAGGTACACCAACAATGTTTGGACATAATATCCTGTCTGCTTCTTGTACTATGGATAACCACTAAGAAGATAACAATGTACAGTGTATTGACTATCAAAACTATCCTATTAATCAGCTATGAAACTGTCTCATTCATATTTATTTCTCAGTAAAAAAAAAATATTCTGATTAATAATAATCCAAGAAGCAACTATCCCACTTTACCAATTCCAAGATAGTTTGAATGACAGAGTCCCCCCTAAAAAAAAAAAAAATTCATACTGAAACTTAATCCCAAGTGCAACAGTGTTCACAGATATGATCTTTGGTAAGTGAGGAAGGTGAAATCCTCATACATATATTCAGTATCCATATAAAAGAGCTCAGGGTTAAAGGGTACATTTTCTTTTGATCTTTTGCTTTTCTAACTTTTCTCCTATGTAAGGACAGAGAGTACCAGGAAATTGGAAGCAGATACAAGGCCTTAACCTAACACCAAGCCCTGACTTTGAACTTCTAGAACAGTGAGACAGATTTCTGTTCTTTATAAATTTCCCAGATTCAAACTTTTTGTTATAGCAGTGAGGCAGAGATTAGGGCATGGCTAGCTGGCTGGGCAAGTGAGCATGACCTGTCAATCACCTAACTCCAGGACACAGCTCCAGGACACAGAGTACCTGCAACCTGAGACCAACCAGAAAATGCTATCTTTGGTCCAGGAAGATAGCTCAGTAGAATAAGTGCTTGCCTGGCAAATGCAAGGTCCTGAGTTCAATTCCCAGTACTGAAAAAAAAGAAAAAAGAAAATGCTATCTTTAATTCTTCTGGCATGAAATCAACCAAGTTTTTGATAGGATCTATCCAGCCAGCCCTATTTGTTTTATTTTTAAACAAAGTCTCACTATGTAATTGAGGCTGATCTTGAATTCACTAAGTAGGCAGGGGGGTCTCAAATTTATGATGATTCTCCTGCCTCATCCTTCCAAGTGTTGGGAATATAGGCATGCACCACCATACCTAGCTAAGTTTTATTTTTTCCTTTCTTCTTTCTTTCTTTCTTTCTTTCTTTCTTTCTTTCTTTCTTTCTTTCTCTCTCTCTCTCTCTCTCTCTCTTTCTTTCTCTCTTTCTCTCTTTCTTTCCTTATTGTTGTACTGGGATTGAACTTTGAACCTTATATATGGTAGGCAAGAACTCTATCACTGAGCTACATCCCAGTTCTTTATTTTTATTTTATTTTTGAACAGAGTGTGACTGAGTGGCTCATTCTGGCCTCAGACTTGTGACAGTTTTCCCTCAGCCTCTCCATGAGCTACATGTACCATTGTACCTAGCTAATTTAAATATTTAAATCAAATATTTAAATAATTTAAAAGAAAAGTATTAAGTGAGAAACTCAGACAAAATTTTAATAAAATGATTAGAATGACATCTCATACATAAGACCTATCATCATGTACTCTGACATAATATACTGAAAAGATTACAACATCACTTGAGTATTTGGCCCAAAAAGCATAATCTGAATTTAATTGTTAAAAACATCCTTCAGGTTTTGGGGCGTAGCTAAGTGGTAGAGCACTTGCCTGCCACATTCACACAACCTGGGTTTGATACACAGCACCGCTAGCAAAAAAACCCAGCCCATCTAATCCAAATTGTGAGACATTCTACAAAATGACTTGCCAATACTGATCAACAGCTTTAAAGTATCAGGTGTGGTGCTGCACACCTGTAACCCCAACATGCTAGGAGGCTGGGCAAGAGACATAAATTCAAGCCCAACATGAGCAACTTAGTGACTTAGTGAGACCCTGGCTCAAAGTGAAAAATGAAAAAGGGCAAAGAATGTAGCTCAATGCAAAGGTTCTGCGTTCAATTTCCAGTACCCAGAACAAGAAGAAGAAACAAAGGGGAGGGAAGGGGAGGGGACAGAAAAGGAAATAGTGTGTTCGCGCACACCTACAATTGGTAGACTGACACAGGAGGATCACCATGAGTTCGAGGCCAGCCTAGGCTGCATAGTGAGTTTCAGCCTAACACGAACTACATAATGAGACCCTATCTCAAAAAACAAAAACAAAACAAATTTTTAAAAAACCCAAACATATCACAACATATTGAATACAGAATAGTTATGAGAACCCAGCTGTCTTCTATCAAGCTTAATTAAAGAAGTTTATAAACAATGTCACTTTTCCCTAAATTGTCTGTTTTAGAAAATCTCACTTTTCCCTAAAAAATGTTATTTACATTAAGATGAAAAGATCTTATTATTAGATTTGTTTATTTAAAAATGAAGTTATTTTAGAATGTCAGTTGTTAATTTTTTTTCAAGGTTAGGAACAGAAGCCAGAGTAGATAAGCACTCTACCATTTAGCTTATATCCCCAACCCTAGTTTTTTTGGGGGGTTTGAGCTGTTTGTTTTTGTAGTACTAACCATTGAACCCCAAGGTGCTCTATAACTGAACAACACAGCCAGCACTTTTTATTGTTATTATTATTAGACAAGGTTTCACTATGTAGTTCAGGCTGGCCCTGAATTTATAGCAATCTTCCTGCTTCATTCTTTCTTTCTTTCTTTTTTTTTGCAGAACCGGGAATTGAACTCAGGCCATTGTACTTGCCAGGCAAGCACTGATTCTACTGAGCCATCTCCCCGGCCCCTAATCTTCCCGCTTCAACCTACTGAGTGCCGATTTTATTTTTTTTATTTTTGATTTGTTTTGGTAGTACCGGGGATTGAACTCAGGACCCTGCGCTTGCCAGGCAAGCACTTATTCTACTGAGCTATCTTCCCAGCCCTGAGGGCTGATTTTATAGCCTGGCTTATTTTTTTATTTTGAGACAGGATTTTGTTAAATTGTCCAAACTGGTCTCAAATTTATAATCTTCCTGCCTTAGCCTCCCCAGTTGCTGGGACTACAGGTGTGTACCAACATGCCAAGCTACTTTTAACTCTTAACACCATAGACACTGGTAGATATAACACATAGTCACAAGCTCTCTCAGCCCTCAATAATTTTCAAGGGTAGAAAAAGTGCCTGGAAGCAAAGAATTTGCTTATCACTGCTCCACTGTCTCAGTCTTCCTTTGATTTGAGCCTAAGGCGTCCACTCCTCTGGGACTGCCTTGTTTCTTCCTCAGGCTGGGCCCTCACAGAATGGCGACTTATTGGGACCAGTCTCACCAGTCTCGATAAGCCTATGTCACCCTCCCATGCCTGGGGCACCAAGGCGCTTTTCACCAGGCCCTTTCTGCAAGGTGTGAGGCACGGGCAGCCATAGGTGGCCAGGGCAACGTGCTCAGTTTGGTTCTTCAGGGAAATCATGATTTCAGGGAAATCATGTCCCGACTCACCAGTGACACAGCCAGTGTCCTCAGGTGAGGACATTCTTCTCCAGAAAATCTCCCACCATCCAGCCCAACCCAGGATATCTGGGCCCTGCTGCCTCACCATGCTTGTCCTGGCCTGTTGAAAGTTCTTTTCCCCAGGGCCAGGGCCAGGGCAGGGCCAGGGTGAGGCAGGGAGGCACCCATGGGGGCAAAGTTTAAGGAGGCATCAGATGTTCAGCAATTCAGATAAATAATACCTTAATGCAACATTTTTTAAAAATCAAAAGGAATATTACTGATTCTTTTGTCTCTGCCTCTACTATGGCTCTGCCTTCCATCTATTTATTTTTAAGTGAAAAGATTTTATTATAAAGGAGCATATAGAGCTGGTGAGATGGCTCAGTGGTCTAAAGCACCTACTTAGAACAAGCTTAGCAAAGCACAGGGACCGCGGTTCAATCCCCCAGCACCACATGCCA